TGGGTTGCTGAGGATTGTTGTTTGTTTTTGCATGATTAGTCACTAATGACTCAGTGATGTGGTGCATCAACTGCTCTCATTTTACTAATTTTATTTATTTATTTTTTGGTCAGCAATTTTAACCGATAAAGCCTTATCTTAACACCCCTCTCAGCCACTTGGAAAACAACTAAACATCAGGAATCTTTATATCTGTTAAGATTCTCAATCATCCAGGTCTTGACCAAGCTTGGAAAAAGTTAAGTTGAGGCAACTGGATGTGACGTTTTATTTATGGATTGTACAAATGGTTAAGGAAGCCATCTTTGTTAACCTGGAAAAGCCATCTCTCAGCGGAGGAGGTTGTCTTAGACATAACTTTTCACCCACCTACAAAGCACTTTTAGGAACACCCAGAAGATTCCCCTTTCACCCACCCTCACCTGACTCACACTCCAATGCGGCACATGACCGAAACCACCCTGATGACCCATTTGAAGCACCTAACTAACATTAATACCTGCCGTGACCTCCATGGCCAAACCAGTGGGAGGGATCAAAGCCACCTTATGTCCCCCATAATTCTTTGTTAGACCTACAGTAAAAGAAGATGCCTCTTTGATAAGATGCAAAACATCTTATAGAAAACTTCACATCCAGTTGCCTAGACTGAACTTTTTCAAGCATCAGGATTATTTTTTAATTACAGTTTGAAATGTTACTTTCTCAGCCTCAGCTGACTGATCAATAAACTACTGCGACTTTAAGACCTATATCTGTATGTGGATTAATGGCTTTCTGACTGTACGGACCCCCGTACGAGAGATGGGAACCCCTGCATCCTCCACCATAGTCCTCATCACTGGTGTCCAACAGGGCTGTGTTCTTAGCCCAGTCTTCTACAAGCTGCACACTTATTACTCAGCTTCTAAAAATCACCAAATTTGCAGAAGATACAATAATTATAGGACTTATTAACAGCAATGAGAAGGTGCCATAGAGATAGGAGGTCTGACCACTGACCACCTGTTGAGGTATCAACCACCTCTGTTTTTAACACCAAGAAGCCAAAAGAAATTTACCCTTTAAAATCAGGATAAGAACACAGTCCGGCCAGGGCATCAACGACTTATGTGGAGCGGATCAAAAACTTTAAGCTTCTATAAGTGTAAACCTCGAAAGACCCAGACCGGACTTTGAACCACACCCTGCACCATTGTTTATTTTATAAGAATTAGAGATGGAACAAAGCCTCCCCTTTACTTCTGCTGAAAAACTTTAATGGGTAGTATGGAATGCAAGGTGCAATGCTTCTGAGAGCTGTAGCAGGTCATCAACTGCATGGTAGTTCATCAACTCCCCACTTCCACATCAAGAGGAGATTTACTTAAACACTGTCCTCTGATGATCCACAAAGATCAGGGGCGACCCAGGACACTCTCTTTTCATTACTATTCTCTCTAGCACACATCATGTGAGCCAACACCTTCACCAATTGTGAAGAAATAGCAGTCCAATAAATGTCCAATAAATGCATTACTCCACAATTATTTCATTTCATTAGGTTGATCACACTTTAAATAAATAATATATATTCACTACATGTGATTTGAATCGTTTACAACAATATTAAAGCTGCCTCTGAAGTTGGGTACTTTCCTGATACAGCTGATAACCTTTACTGCAGATTAGTGTGCATGGCAGAGTGGTTAAAATTCAGGGATAAAGATCTCAAACGCGCATCAGAAGCGGTTTTAGGATGGGCCTCGACCTTAACCTATTTGAAAAATGACAGCTAGTAGAGTCTGTATCAGGAAACCATTAAACATTTTTGTTAATTAAGCAATTGGTGTTAGGAAGAGTAGTCAAATATTTGGCCAAAATCATGCTGAAACTAGTGTCTTTACAGAAAGATATGTTTTCTGTATCTTAGAAAGCAGTAACTATTAGCAGTTTTTTTTTGTTTATCTTTGCTGTTTTTTTGTCAGTGCATGCATTAAAATAATGGGGAGGTGCAAAGTGCCAAGTGAGTGAATCTAATGAGATATCGCAAATGCAAGGAATCTGCCTCCTATTTTATTTTTATCATCATTACTATAGTTTACCCGCAGGTGATAAAACAAAACATTGTATGCTTTTTCTGAAATAAAAAATCAAGACAAGATGGTGTTAATCAAATGGAAAAAATTGTTCTAGATCCCTGTTTTTAGCACTCCATATACAGCCATTAAAGAGCCTTCGAATGATTGTTACATTTCAATTTGCAGTGTAACTACACAAGTCGATTTAGCAGAAGAAGCAATGCAAGATGTTGGACTCAAATTAAGGGACCAGCTGATTTATAACTGGAAAAGCTCAGCTAATCCATAATTTCATCATTTAAAACCATTTGTGTCAGGGCATCAAAACCCAACACGTTGTGCTACTTATATTTCTGTCTAAATCTACCAAAATCAGCAACACCCTGTTGTCTAAATTTTTATTTTTAAGTAGAAAACACAAAATATTTTTCATTATATAAAGAATCACTATTCAGGTTAGAATAATTAAGCTCAGGTTTAATCAGAATTTTTTTTTTTTTTTTCCAGAGGTCATGAACTGCAGTAAACTTTCATTTAATGGAGCAATGAGAAGAAACCGTTAACTTTAACTACCAGTTATCTTTAACAGCTAGCTGTTAAACTGCCTTTACCAAATTATTGTTAGCCACTTTATGTGCGTGAAAATGGTGGAAACATCTTCAGTGCTTTTGTAGCAAAGTCTTTTCAGTCCAATGGACTAAGTGTTTCTAATGCTGCTTGCTGCTTCATGTCTTACTTCAAATAAGGTTCTTACATGCATCCTACATGCATCCTACACCTCCATTGCCCCTAAATGACGCTTGATAATCTAATGTCACTTGGAGATTAAAAAAAGAAGTGCCTTCCATGCTAAATGACCAAATTCCAGCCTCCTTCTTGATAACCTATATCTGTTTTTGATGAATACCAAACAAAGATATGTTTGACATAAAACTTTTGATGTTCTTCAATGTAAATGAGCTAATATACGAGCATAAACTATAAATTACAGAACTTAAGCCTTGCTAAGTCTGCAGCCTCTGAGCTCTCTGCTCCCAAATCAGATAAGTGTCACCGTGCATCGGGCTGAAAATCCATACTTATAGGAGTTATTTTAGTGACACTGGGCCTTTTGTTGATCTATTATAACTATGCAGCTCTGACAAAAGACCACTGTTCCAGTCAGTATTAGCATGCAGATTTCCCCGTGTAGTGCTACACCACATCTTGTCACTACAGTGTGAACATTGTCTCTGAGCTTTAAGGGGGGGGGGGGGGGGGGGGGGGGGGGGGGGGGGGCTGCACTGCATGTCCTCTGCTGTGGGAGCTGGTCTAGATTGATCGATGGTTGTCAGAGTGGACATTTCTGAAATAACTGTTTCCTTTTAAGCGCTATAAAAAATACTAAGCATACTGATTTTATTGTTGCTGGGGAAACACTGTCATGATGTAGAAAATATTTCTTTTTGTTTTATTAAATACCTGCAAAAGCATGGCATGATGAGTCAATCATTTTTAGAGCCACTTTTTGCTTCAATTACAAGTTAAAATGTTGAGCAGTATGACTTCCAGCTCCAAACACATTAACTTGAGATTCCACCTATGTCTGAAATTTGACAATCTAATATATAAATATTTATCTAAACCATTAAGTTATCACTGAAACTACACCATTAGCATCATCCTGCTGGAAGCGGAGCATAAACCCCGGTTTCCACTGTTTTTCAGCTTCCTGTATTTTAATCCAGGGGTCTTCAACAGGGGGTCCAGGGAGGTAATGCATGGAGGTCGCAAAAGTTTTGGTTATATATTCCCTCCTTCAATTTTTTCCACTAATTGAAATGTCTTTATATCCACATTCACATGAATTCAACACACTGTAGTAAACAGATAAATGGAGGCAGAAGATGTCGTTCAGTCATCAATGCACACATTCAGCGACACACAGGAGCTCTTTCAAGCTGGACACCATTTCATTCACAACACCTGTCCCATCAACCAGGAATCAGAATCAGAAATACTTTAATAATCCCAGGGAGAAATTACTTTTGTAACATTACTCCACGTGTCATAGAGTGACTATAGGAACAGTTTGATATAACACAATTTCATACAATATACAATAATTAGGGAGTCCCCGTCTCGCCATCAGTTTGGGGGTCCTTGGCCTGGAAAACTTTGAAGACCCCTGTTTTAATCCTTTCTTCTTTCCATTACCTCTGACTTTCTTCCCTGCTTCACACAAAGCTGCCAACAGCATGTTTCACTGTGGCTGCTGTGTTCAAGTAAAACTGCTGTGTTAGTTTGACTCATCAGATATTTATTTTGTATCTTTTGGCAAAAAGATATATTTTGGTATATTCTGATCAAACCAGTTCCCTTCCTGTTTGCTGTATTCTCTGCATGCTCTTTGACCAACACTATGTCCTGTGGTTTTCTTCTTGCCAACTGATAATTGTGCCGTTAGCAGATTATCCCAACCGAGCTTTAGATCCATGCAGATCTCTGCAGGTCTGTTTATCTGTTTTTGCAGAAGCTCTTTATTAATACTTAACTGACCTCTTTCTGGCTGTATTTAGTTCTATTCTGAGGGATCAGTACAGTGAAGAGAGGGATCCATTTTTTTGTTTTTTCAGTAGGAAGAAACAAAACTGCAACTTTTTTCTTCCACTTTACATATATTTACACATAATATCCCCTCACACTACATAGAAGTTTGTGTTTACTGTGTGACCAATGGTCAACAGTTGTAAAAATGTTGGCAGGGAAGCCTTTAGGGAAGTCTTTAGGCAGTTTCCAGGTCAGAAGGTGAGCTAGAAACAGAGAATATTAGCTCTGCTGGTTTTCACTGCTGCAGGAAGGGCCCTGGCCTGTAAAAAAAAGGGCCCTTTGTGCCTCTCTGGTTTTGTTGTGTGCCATGCGGGCCTAAGCCCATAGATGACCCTTGTTGTTTCTGCGCAGGCCTGGTCGAGGCAGATGCGAAGCAGAACAATGGCTGCGTCTTGGAGAAACCGGCGGTGACTGACTCCACGGGCACTGAGGGCCCCCACCAGCCCTGGAACCCTGCCAGCACAGCTGACCCTGACGCCGCCATACCACGCCCCCACCTGGTCCGCCTCTTCTCCCGAGATGCCCCGGGCCGGGAGGACAACACCTTCAAAGAGCGACCCTCGGAATCGGACGAGCTGCAGACCATCCAGGAGCACAGCGGAACGGCTTCAGAGTGCGGGTCGGAGAGCCCCGAGCAGGACTTAGAATAGGCTGACTTTTTTTTTTGTTCCTTCCCTTTCCTTTCTTTTCTCTATTCCTCTTTTGAGCTTTGCTCTCTTCTCAAACGGAGAGACAAAAATAAAAGAAATACATTCAACTAATACAAACAACCCGTCAAGCGCTTCTACAACCATGGCATCTTCAAGTAGCTCCGCACAGGCCGCCTTCGGGCTGGGCCGGAGAAAGAAGAACCCCGGGCTCCTGGATCAGATAGGAAAGTTCTTTGGAGGGGACAAGAAAAGGAAGGGCAAGGTGAGGAAGGGTCTCGGTGGAAACACCAGACCCCTCTCATATAAGTCAGTAATTCTGCTGATTCTGTATCACTTTCTGTACAAAATGTTTCTTCCTTCATGGTTCGTCATGTTGAGTTTGGTTGGTTTTACTAATTTAAAGGTGAACCTAAATAACTTAACTGGCTGATATGTGCTGATTGGACACATGAGGATGACTTATTAGAACATTTTATCCGTGTTTTACATTTTAAATTCATATCTGTGATTTTGTGTCATTTGAAGATTTTCTTTTCTATGAATGGTACTTACGCTCGTGGCATTTCTTCAGCTGAATCATGGTACAGCAGTAGATGTTGAGTTTTAAAGTTAAAAGATGTTTATTAAGACATTTGTTAAAGTGGAGAACAGCCGTGTTTCACTTCAGGTACCTCACTTCCAAATCCTAAGGCTTAGGATGGGATGTGTTTGTCATTTAGATGTGACAAGTAGATTAGTGCGGGATCTCTGCAGAGGGCTCACAGCTTCTTCATCACTTTGATCTATGAGCGTCTGGGAAAAGTCCACCCAGGAAGGTACATTGCTGCTGTTTATGGCAACACCAGCCTGCTAGGTCACTTTCACAGTTAATGATCACTTTATGCTTGAAATGATCAAAGAAAATTATTTATATTGTATACAGTATAGTAGTTTATGAGCCCTTCTTTTTGAAATTATATTAAAAGATTGTCCTGTAAAGTGAGTAGAGATTAACTTTTTTCTTTCAAGTTAACTGTGATGTGTTGAGTTCTATTTACTTTTTAAATTAGTTTTTTTTTTTTTTTTTATCCCTGGAAAAAAAAAAACATTTTTTAGGGACAGTTTTTCAGAACGAAATGAAAGAAAAATCCTTTGCTTTGTGCTCCTGGTACGGACCAGACTGGGATCCGCTTCCAGACATGATTGGACTGCTTGGCACGGTATCAGCTATGCTGGCTCCGCCGCCTGTCCTCCGCTATGGGCTGGGCACTCAGCGATGGCCTCTGGAGGCGGAGCTGATTCAGGTTATATTCTCCAAATTATTTAGTTAGCCTTCCACTAGACATGGGTCGGTTCTGGATTCCTGCTGTATGATAATCTTCAGCTAGGAAGGTTTTCATTTTAAAAAACGTCAAATATCATCCTTGCCGCAAGAATAGTGGAAATATTTACTCGTACTTTGAGTTAAACGCATGGGTGTAGCAGGAAAATCCACTGAAATTATTGTAGTAGTGGTTTCCATCCTTACTTGGCTCAATTTATTACATTTTGTTCTTGAGAAAGTAAAACGGGACGAGAGAAAGCAGATATTTCCTGGTTAATTAGCCCTCAGGTAACTAGCCCGCAGTCAGCTGCTTAACAAACATGTACCTCACAGCTTTACAGTAATTAGGATAATTGCCTTTTTGGTTTCCGTAAGTTGATGGTTTCCAGTTTTTTTGAAAATATTTCCAAACACCTGAATTATTTTTCTTGAATAGGAGGGATAAATGTTAAAGCTTGTATTTGAGCCAGCTGACTGGCAGTGCTCAACTATAGGTAGCGGGAAGAAATGTATATTCTTCCTTTCTTTTTTGTTGCTGCCACTCTATAGTCCTAAATGCCATCTTTGCAATAAGAGCCTTGGACCTTAATACTTGCTTCCTGCTTTGTTTCAGTTAGTTAAGCGGCAGTTTGCGGCAACACTTCAGCAGAGTCGTGTTCCTCTGTTCATATTGCATGAGAAATCAGATCCGCCTCCTTGCTAATCAGTGCTGAAGGAAAAAAAAAAGAAAAAAGAAATACTTAACAGCTTGACATATGCATCCCCCCCAACTCCAGCCCCACCCCCACACCTTATGCTAGCTATAAATTAACAGGTTAAGTAAGATTTAGGTGTAAACTGATTTTATTTTTTTCTCTCGCCTGTTCTGCTGATCATAGATGGCGAGACGTTCAGGGAAAAGCATCAAATGAACCACTTTGGAAGTTTCCTTATTTTTTGCCATGAGCTGCATGTTGCTGTTTTGTACCAATAAAAGTTTTCCTTAGAAATAAATAGATATCAGTGACGCTGTGTTCACCGATGGTTTGCCTTCAAACTGCTTACGGATCAAGTCAGTGACAGTTTGCCCATTTCTGCTGCCTTTAGCAAATCAAATAAGTAAAGTTGCAAACATTTTACTTTCACCCCGTTTGCTTCAGACTCATTCTTAGACAGACCAACAGGCTGCAGTATTAGTTTAAAAAGCTTCACTAGTGTTTATCTTAATAACAAATGAGTTTGTCTAACTTTTGGATGTTTAAATGTTTGCTAAATTGGTAGGTGGATTTAGGGGTTTAATTATCTTTTTTTAAATATATTTTTAGCCACTTTAATGTCTTTTATTTTAATGATGTTTTGCTAAAAATCCAATTAAACGCAAAATAGCTGGTTTCAGGACACATAAAACGTCTGAGGATATATCTGCCGCTAGATGCTGACGAGTTTTTGATCATTTCAAATCCTGGGGATAAATCACAGGTTAACTGGAGGTGAAATGAAGCTTCCAGAAGCTGTTCAGGCTGGAAGAGGAAAGAACAAAGAAATAACTTTTTTTTCTGTGTTTTATATTTAGTTGCATCTTAGTTTCATGGTACAGCGTGTCAGTCAGATGATGAAATCCAGGGTTGCCTCTTTTAGCTCTCTCTCACTTCTGTGATGCTGTTTTCTGACCCCAGTGTCTTGGATGAGGAAAGGGACGGTTCCCTCTCACCAGTTTGCTCACCTCAGGTTAAAATGTCTCTGACCCAGTCTGTGAGACGTTTTTTCCTTTTGTTTTTTTTTTTATCAACACCTTTTAACTCTGCTCTGGGTTAATGTAACTGCTTGTATATGTAGTGACCGGCGACCTGTTCCTGATCTAATCCTGCTCTGAGCTGTTTTTATTTTTATTTTTTTCTAAATACTGCTTGATTAAAATTGTGTAACAACATCCCCACCGCTCTCTTTGTTTTATTATTCTTTGATTTGCACTCACCTTCATGTCTCCGGAGTTTTCTTGATGTAAAGGAATGATAGATTTAAACAGCCCCACTAACAACATGTGACATCCTTTCTAATTCCCATTTGCTGCTTCTTTAAAGGGATTTGTCTCCTGGTTTGCAGAAAAGACACATTCTTTGCCATCTCTATCGTCGAGACTTAAAGAGTTTAAATATATTCTGTCCGTCACCGCACAGAAAAAAAAGAGTTATCAAAGTAGGCGTAATGGAAAGCAGAGCTACTGTTTATCTCCACTCTGATAGAGCTCGGTAATGGATGACTGCCTCGGCTTATTTGTGTGAGCATAAAGATTAAATTGCCAGGAAACAGAAGAAAACAATTGGAGCTCTTATGCCAAAACAGGGCATGACTCTGGAATATGTTTTCCTAAATCATAGCAACAGAAATAAATGTATTTGGGCCTTGACTCAAAGAGAGATAAAATTAAATCCATGAGGTTTGTTATATGGCCGTGAAAACCTATGTGGTCCATTCATTCTTACGTATATGATCATTTACACTTGGATGCTTTAAGCACTAAATTACAATGAAACATCAATAGTCCAGAAGTCCTGTTTGAAGAAGTTGTTTCTGCATAATGATGAACTGGCAAAATTAAAATCTTTTTTTAATGCAAATTAAATGCAAACTTCAAAATGAGTCATTCTGCCGAAGTATTGCCAGCCCTGCTCCTCTTTATCGGTCACACTTGAAAGAAGCAAAGTTTAACACCAAAGGGTTGTTATGGATGCAGCATGTTGTGCTTCACAGTTCAGGTTATTCATCATTTTTTAAAAGGAATTTTAAAATGTACATATTTCAAATCATATTCTAAAGAAAGGAGCTACAATTTTCTTTAGTTCAACTGCAAACTGTGTATTATCTAAACATGATGAAACATGACTGTAGCTTGGCAGCCATTAGATTCTCCCAGTGCAATAACAGGGATGAAAAATGAAATGGTTTTGTTGCATCATAATGCTGACACAAAGAATTAAAGCAAAAATGCATAACATGAAGTATGAGTGATCGTTGGAGGCTCTTTTAGTTTCTATTCCAGAACTACTTTTTGCAGCAGGATATTTTTCCTAACAGCTAGAATAATTTTTTTATATATATATAAATGTTTGAGGGAAATTGGAGGCCATCTTTCAGCGATGTGAGCAGCTGGCAGAGAGCAGCAGCAGGTGTAGCAGAGGCAGCGCTCTGTGTGACTCTGTGTCTCCTACATTGGCTCAGACTGGCACTTTGATGTCTCATTAAAACCAATAACTATAACGTTTTAAAACCTTGTGAAAGTGTTTACATGCCAAGCTAATCAGATGCATTAAAAATATGCATCTACCCCCCCAACATCTCACACTAAACGAGTATACTATAAAAAAAAGCCTGTAGTTTCTTTCATCTGATCTACAGAAGCAATTAAAATGAAGGAGATGTTTTTCAGCCAGCTTGCCAGCAGTGCAGAGCAAAACCTGAGGGAGGACCAGAGCACTTTTGCACCTATTAAAATATGAATTAAACCATATGAATGTTATGATGGGAAACTATTATTTTGAGTCTTTCTGTCCATACAAAGGCTATAGAAAAAATGATGATAAACTTTTATGTTTTCCTTTCTAAAAATCTAAAGCCCTCTTAACTTTCTTCCTCTTTACAATATGGGTGCAGCTGCAAAGTTTTGGGTATAAAACTTTTGTTTTTGGGCACGATTACTTTGCACCAGATGTCATTTGTTTGTGGGTTTAGCAAAAATAACATATAAAAACTGAGTTGAATAGAACTTAATCTTCTTACCTGTGAAAGGAAATGCGCCTCTGTGATGAATGTTAAACACTGAGCAGATGCAGGAGTCAGAGTAGAAAAGCTGTCACAGATATACAATTCCTGTGTAAGCTGCCATGATGGAACACAAAGACTATGAGAGAATAATTGATGTCAGGAAATAATAATGTCTCCTGTTTGGCATTTTAGGATAAAACACAAAGTTTTGGAACGTTCACTTTCAACCTTGAAGATTTTCAGGTAGTTAAGCAAGCAAGAAGACTATAGTTTTATGAAGCCGAAAGTCGTTACCTTTTCTTTGGATTAAATATTAACAATCATTTATAATAAAGCAGACCCCTGGTCAGGATTTGACCTTCAACCCAAGTGCTGATCATTAGATCGGCTGAAATGCAGTGCAGGGAAACGGTCACATCATCTGGATTCTAATTAATGCTTCTTCTTTTCTTAGTTTATCCCTCACCTAGAATCAAACTGTACAGCAACGTCTAACAACGTAAACTATTAAAGATGACTAAGCTGCATACTACTGTGTTTTTCTGAGCAATCGCTGCTGAAACAAAAATTTGAAAAAGAAATGAAAGTTGTAGAAGGAACTGATAGGGAACCTTGATATTTTAAGTTATGAGTGAAAACACTGGAAATAACTAAATGCTAACATTGAATGCTATGTTTTGATAAAAATAAAACACCATGGATATCCCTTTAAAATTTGAATACCCGAAACACACTGCAGAGAAATACCTGACGAAAATAAATAAATAAAGCTATAGATGAATTAATATAGGTATGTTAGAAATACGTTGAAATCAAAAACAGATTTTCCTTTCCTTTGCACAAGACTTGCTTCTGTTTGGGAAAAGAAGTGGGAAACCATGTGACAAGAGCACAGGCATTTACATAATTTCTAATTCAGCTTATTGCTAATTCACAACACATGTCATCTCAAGGCACTTTACAGTTCATCAGATCATACAGTCAAACTGATTCAAAGTTTTCTAAGGAAAACCAGTTGATTGCATCGACTCATTGACTCGGATGCAATCCTTCACACTAAGAATGCTTGTAGCGACAGTGGAGAGGAAAAACTCCCTATTAACAGAAAGGAACCTCCAACAGAATCAGGCTCAGTGTGAACGGCCATCTGCCGAGGCCGACTGGGGTTCAAGGAGATAGAAGCAGATAATGGGGAATATAATAGCATTTCAAACTAATACATCATTGTATACAATATTTGAAGAAATACATAGAAAAAACTTTCGCCGTTAAGCTAACAGCCATTTTGATCAACTTTTTACTAATTTCTGTAGCTGAAGTTTGACGTGGGTGTGAGTTTGATGGACAAGTGGACCAATTAGCAACAAAATCTGTGTAAAAAAAAAAAAAAAAACATTCTACTTTGACTTTCCCAGATTTACAAAAATAGTCTGAACTTGGCACTAACAGAACCTGGACAAAGTTTGCTCTAAAGGAGAAACACACAGCACCATGTTATAAAGAGTTGATGATACATTTAGGGTAATGTGCACTGTAGGCTTTGCTAACAGACATGTTTCAGTTTTAGGGCTTATCAGATGCTTTTCTAGCAGCTGTTTTCTTGCTTGAATAGATGAAACACTATAAAATGGGACTTCTTGTCGCTTTTTTAGATTTTTTTTTCTTCTTTTCTTTTATAGCCAGATTCATGCAGTGTGTACTTTTGTTGTCATCAGATAATCCCACCTTAGCTGTGTCTATTTAAAGCTCCTTTAAAGTTATTGACGACTTTTTAGCTGCTTAATAGTTAAATGCTTCCCTGGTAGTGTGTTATTATGATAACTCAGCAATAATAAAGTTATATTTCTTGCTGTTCTCACTCTCTGTTTGCTTCCCTTTAATTTCTGAGAAAACTTTGAGCCAAAACAGTTTTTTTGCCTTTTGCTTCTCTTGGAACAAACAGAGGAGCGAGCATTCAGTTATTTACTTCAAAGGTAAAATGAGATGGCTTATGGACAATCCCCCAGAATTATTTGATGTCTTGTTTTTCCTTACCTTTTTTTCCCTCAAAACAAAGCCCACCGATCATTGGGTCAGCTCTGATTTCCCGAAGCTCTTCGTTTTACCTCCATTTCCATCCTTCTCTGTTTGCAGACCTAGCCATGCAAAAAATACACTTACACAAGAGGGCATCATTAGGGGTCTCTGGTGAAAAGAGTTGGAGTTAACAAAAGAATAACAAAAGAAAAGAAATGCTTGAAATAGTGTTGCAACAATGTATAAGGTTGTTTTTTCTCTATTTGTATTTCATATAATACCGTCTGTATTTCCACATTCAGATCAGCCATAAAAGCTCCAGCAGTCATGTTGGTGTAAGTTCCCCACTTTTTCTCCACCTTAAACATCTTTGATGTGAGGCAGCGGTGAGGTAATGGATGAGAATCATAACCCCACAGGCAAACTCCCGCAGTCTGAAATCCAGGACTTCAGAGGACATTACATTGATTTTGTTGTGCACCTTCATCTCATAGAAAACCGAAATTCAGCCTCGCCGTCAGAGTCCGAAAATGTCCGGAGTTCAAGCAGACTTGCTTTTGTTCCTGAATGAAAGGTTGAGCTGAAACCATGCTGGAACGGATTGAGGTCCCTAAAACATGAGAAAATCCACACATGTCCCTGTTCCATTAGGGAGGTTAAAGAAAGAAAAGCAGGAGGTGACATTCGGGGGGAAGGCATGAACTCACTGAGAACGTGGAAACTGTGCAGCTCGCAGATGGGATTCAGTGAGATTGGTTTAGGATTCACACCTGGTGTGTTTCTTTAATGTTTGCAGAGGTAAAAAAATCCCTTTATCCCCTCAGAAGTTAAATTCTTTATTCTGCTTTATTGAACTCTCATGTAGCACTCAGGTTAATGCTTGATGATAATCGGTCTTGTAAAATTTTAACATATCAATTAGAAAAGATGAGCTCCTTCACATGTTCAGTTGTACCGGTTTTATCATTTTTAGTCTATTCCAGTATTTGATAGTTAGCTGGGTGGATTTTCTCCGCTGTTAGTGAGTCAAATTAATTAATGAAGAGACAAATCTTTTCAGAGCTACTGTAGCCAACAGCTTTTAAAATAATCAGCTTTTTAAAAGTAATCTAATCCCTTCATTTACATTCTTAAGTCGTGACAGAGAGGATCAAATAGAAAGTAAACGTCAGATATTAAAATGAATTTCCACTATCAGTGAGCAGCCAAGCCAGAAGCCTGTAGGTTAACCCTTTTGATTTATTTTTTCGGATTTAATTTTTGAAAATCTTTGACTGGTTATTCTAATTTCACTGGCCTGTATTTTGGACAGGCTTATTTTTTCTTACTGTTTGATGTCTTTAAGGTGAACTGTAATGATCTGTGTCTCTTAAAAATTAACTGATTCTAAATAACATTTTTTTTATCACACAGCCATTGTAGTTTTATATTTATTTATATATTTTTTTTTCTTTTTTTAAAATTAGATTTAGACTCTCTGTCAAATGTTTTTTTTTATGTTGTAATTTCTTGTAAATTAATCAATACATCTGTACTGCATAGGAAAAACAGGTAAAGTAGTTTATTCTACCATTAAAGCTGAAGTTATTATTTGCAAACATGGGCAAAAAATATACTGCAGGGCCCTCAGAGTTTTGGATCTACCCAATTAAGGATGAAAAAGTGTAATTTCATTAAGAAAAGTAAAGACTAACAGTCTAACTGTCCTTCTAGATTCACATCCAACTGAAATTTTCTTACCTGCATTTTGTGAAGGTATCTGCCTACATTAGGTCTGTCTGAATGATACAGTTATTTGAAGTCCTTGTTGTTAAACCAGTCGGTAACTGGTGAGAGGACATTATTTTTCAGGGGGAAAAAAGTTCCAATCTGTGGAAACATAAAATAGAAATATTGAGGTAGAAGGTGACACAGGAATGTGGCCCTGTCGTCTGGAGACGTTTCCATGAACCCGTTCAGTTATTCACCATTATCCACATGAAACACTCTATTGATCTTCTGAGATTAAATTCCAAAACAATTCACATATTTAAGGTACTTAAATCAGTTTATTTCTATAGCGCCAATTCACAAGACCTTATGTCAAGGCACTTTATAGTTCACCAGATCATCCAGTCAAATTGATTCAAAGTTTTCTATCTTCAATCATTGATTGAAATACAATCCCTCACACTAAGCATGCTTGTGGCGACAGTGGAGAGGAAAAACTCCCTTTTAACAGGAAGAAACCTCCAGCAGAGCCAGGGTCAGTGTGAGCGGCCATCTGCTGAGGACGACTAGGGTTACAGGAGACAGAAGCAGAGAGCGCTTAATGCTTTAAACACACCAGTTAGACTCCTTATCATTTACCACAACCAGAAACTCAGCCGGATGAGTGAACAGTGAGGCCTCAGAGTGAAAGTCTGCTGCTCCTTCTCTTCCCAGGGTTCTTTCCGAGGTGCTCTCTCTCCAGCCCCTCAGAAAGCGTCTGCCACCTCGCCACGTAAACGCGGAGCAGAGAACGCTGTGGTCCATTTCTTCCGCACGATCGTGAGTAGTATGCCATGTTTCTCTAACCATCAAACTCTTAGATTGGAGAAGCTCCGGCAATGAAACCAGAACACACTACTGCTCTCCTGTTCATCTTTGTTTCTGACTCTGGTCTGACCAACTTAAAACTTCTGTACTGTCTGCTCTTAACTACTCCTCAGGTGTCCCCCGCCCCTCCTAAATCTAGGGTGAGTCTGCTTTATTTTTATTACCTTACAACCATTCTGTTTTCCTAAAAGGTAAGTAAAACAGTACATCAAAAAGGTGTTAATAGCCCTTTTCACATTTCCCATATCATTTCAATGGGATTTTATGAGACTAATTAATACAATTAAGTATATTTCAGCAGTTTTAATTATGTAAAAATTTTATTTAGAGCCATCCAAGTAAATAGTGTTGATCCTGCATATCCTTATACATTAATTTGTGTTGGTCGTTTAACAAAGGGATTGTGATTATTAATACTTTGGCATCAGTAATGAACTTTTTATTTATTTTAAACTTTTGATCTTGAAAAATGAACTTCTTTGATAAAAAGAACAGGGAGATGTAAAACTAAAGCTTTATCTCCTCCTTTAAGGACCTGCAGGACATTTTGTTATGATCAGAAGCTATAAATAGTTTCTTGAGAACTATTGAAACAGACGTCTCCCCTGTTCTTTATTCCTGCCCTGCTTTGCACATCTTACCCCCATGTCCCACATGAACTCTCCCCCTCCCTCCCTCCCTTCCTCCCCTGACTCACCCCTTCACTCCCCTGTCCTGCCTTTGCTCTTAAACACATTGTTTCTCTACTTTTTCCTCTCCTCCTTTCTGTCTCTACACCCAGTGGAGGGGACTAGCTGCCAAGATAGGCCTGGTAGGTTTAAAATGGCCGAAAGAACGAAAAAAAAGAAGAAAAAAAAAAGAAAGAATAATGTCTTATTAAAACTTACAGTATCAAGTAATTCATTTTTTTTATTATTTACCTTCAATAATGACGCTGGTTATTATTTCCTTTTACATTTGCTCTCCATCATCCATCCATCTTCCTAATCTTCACATACATCAGAGATAAAACTCTGTTTTATCATGGTCATTCTTTGACGTTTCCATATTCTGATTGATAACAGCAGCATTGCTCGACCCTTCATGGTGCTTGTATCATCCTAAAGGTTGCTCTGTGGCTGATAGACGGAAAGCTGCCCTTCTCCTCCATTTACAACATCATCAGCACATGATTTACTGTAACACTGTTGTTCTTGTGTGCGGATGTGGCCCCACAGATAGCTGTGGATTAAACAAATGAAGTCAACACGTCATCAAATATATTGGCACAGAAAAATGGAGTGGATCAAATCTACCCTTTAGCTGACAACAGATTATTTACTTCCTAAGAATGGTCCATAAATAGATTCATGGATTTATCTTTTATTTTTTATGTTTGTTTTTTTAGTCAAGGACAAGAACGTTTACTTTTTTTGCACTCCACCTTAGAAAGGTGCCCTTATTGATAGTTTATTCATCATCTGATGAGGAAATGATATTTTAACACTTTTTGTCTTCTTGATCTATACTTAATCAAATTAAATAGAGACATAAAGCAGAAAGGTTTTAATCCCCAGTGCCTTTGTGCTGATCTGCCACTACAACCTCTTAAACTAGATTTATTTTTATTTATTTCAACTTTAATTACCTAGAATATCATTAAGAAAAACAGATTCAGTAATTCAGTTCATAACCTGAAGCTCCTATACATATATTTCTGCCACGAATACAACCAATATACAGCAGTTAATGTTGTGTTGTTGAGAGACTGTAACTTATACGTATAACCCAGAGCTCACAGCTTTCTCAATCCGTTAATCTGTCAGAACAGCATACGCTGTCAGATCGACATACGCCTGGTTTTTATCCAACCTAAATTAAGTCATAATATAAACCACAGCCAATGTTTTCTATGATTTTAGTAAGTAACTTATTTTAATTTGATATTGACAATTTACATTATTTTATTATTTATCTTTTAACTCTTCACTATTATGTTATTCTAATACATTTTTCTAAGTTCCACATTTGTTCAAACATTTTTTCTATAATCTTTTTGCTGCTGTAAACACCAGAATTTCCCCATTGTGGGACAATAAAGGGATTTTCTATTCTATTCTTTCTTTTCTATTTGATTCTATTCTATTCTGTTCTATTCTAATATGGTTTAAGCTATAGATGATTCTTTCAAGATCCCATAAACTTCAACCATGTCTGTCCGTTTCTGCATCCAATAAAAACCAGTAAAATCAAAGCTTTTTTTGTTAACTCAAAGATTTTCTTTTTTAAAAGTTTAAATAAACATGTTTTTGCTGGTTGGAACACTGCTGCTAAAATTCAACATGGGAATAATGCTGCCTATTTTCCCGCATGCGTATTATAACAACGTATGCCGCTCTGACAGCGTACTGTATGCTGTTCTCACAGAACACCGTCCCTGAAGGAGTCGATAGGTGCTTCAATGGTGGCCTTCAGCTTCTCTGCCTTATCTGGTGTCTCTATAGAACGGTTGTAGGTCAGGTTTGATTTCTAGACATATGCAACTATCCTTCTACCTGCAGTATTAATTGTTTGTGCTTTAATATATAATTTTAGGTTAAAACATGTTATGAAAGGAGAGTTTGTCCTTTTTTCTGACTCCCTTTATTGTCTCAGTCAATACAAAGTTCTCAGCTAATTTCATAAACTTCAAACTTTCATAGTTGAACACTCCTTTCCAGCCTCTAACTCATGCATAATTCAAGCATTATGAAATGTTAAAGGAGCACAATGCAATCATGCTGTAAAGTTGGGGCACAGTTGGATCTCACCCCAATCAATAACCAGAGTTGCTGAGGGACGCAAATCAATCCTCCGGAGAATATTCTGGTGAAGGAACAGTCATTTCTACCTTAACAGCTCTCTGAATATTCTTAAACTCTGGGTTGAACGATAAATTAATCCATGGCTCTCTTAAAAGAGGATGGCCACATCTCAGTCCCTTAACATTGTGTGAAAGACTTTTTTTTTAACATGCTTGAATTCTTTTGCTTTCTTCAGGGCCAACAGAAGTCAAGCAAGAAGTCCGGTGCAGGTGACGGAAAAGGCTCCCTGACTAGGATGTTCAAAATGGTAAAAAGAAAAAAGATTTGCTTCTATTTTTAACTGATTAGTAACCCAGTTAGGATTTCTTTAAGCTTTTTTTCTGGTTCTAAAAGCTTTAACAAACTAGATTTGTTCCCTAATGATGCTCTTGCCTCTGTCTCTGCGTTTTCTCTTCTACCTCAGTGATGATATCAGCAGCAAAGTGAGTAAATACTGGGTGATGGAGGGATACTTGCCTTTAACTCACCGTGCATTTGCTCAGCATTGATTCGCTTGGAAAACATTATAATGTCATTGCTACAGCAACCAGAAGCATAATAATGAGAGGCTTTTAGACACAAGATTGATTATTGTGCATGTTGTAAGCTTCATGACATGGCTGATATAATCACGCTGAAGGATGTAGGTTCAGTTCTGGTGAGGATCCACCCTGGCTGCAGCTAACAACCGACCGCTTCACTACGAAGGGAAGGTTGGCTTATGCATCTTTAATGAGCTTGTTTTATTTCCCATTATTATGCGCTGGCATTCATCATTTTTACGGATGCTAGGAGAGTCCTTATTTTATTTTAGAGTTTCATTTGATCTGCAACATATTTTTCTTGTATTTTGTTTTTGCCTTTTGGAAAAAGGAAAAAAAAAAAAAGCCAAGAGGGGAAGTTGTAGAAATGAACTGATCAGAATCGTGTATCTGGTTTTGGATCTCTACTTTTTATCTGTTTAAGAAATCTCAGGTCAAGAAATGACTTTTAACTCCTCCTGCCTTGAGTGCACATTTAATATTTATATTTGCAGCTGAAACAACCTCCACCACGTGTGTGTGAGGGAGTTCTACTAAAATAAAACTCAAAATTCTTCAATATTAGCCAGTAGGATGGTTATTGGGGATAGAAACATTTAAACAGCATGTCTGTGTCATATATAAAGTTGTGCTTGAAAATTTACAGACTTAAACTAAATGGATAAAAGTAGTGAATAAAATGATTTAATCATGATACTGATTTTGAATATATCTATATCTACATATATAACAACTAAACAAGCCTGATGGAGCTCTTGAACTTAAATGTTTGTCTTTTGAAGCGATCCATGAAATCAGGTGTTTTCTCTAAAGGTCAAGGAATGTTCACTCTTCTGGATGTGTTGACAGGATTGTTGGTTCACTGTTCATGATTAAAACCCCTATAAAACTAATTGTATCATATTTGATACTTGAGTTTTTGAGACCTTTACATCATCAGTGTTATATTTTTATTCTAAAAACCCTGACTTACACAATAAGTCGCATGTAGTGAACAAAAAACGTTGAAAATTATAGAGAAATGCCTTTTGTATCAATTTTGATGCAAATAAATTATCTAATTTAACTTATTAAAAAATTCTTTTTGATTTCATTTGCCAGAAAGTTCAATGACAACTTTAATAGAAAAAAAGAAAAAAAAAAATTTATGTTCCAGGATTTAAAGGGTTAAGGTACTTTCATTTTACTGGGAGCTTCTTTGTTTTTAGAATTATTTTATTTAGTTTACTAAATTATTATTTAGTAAATGTGTATTTGTTTTGTTTGTTTTTTTTTTTTCAATTTTGTGTTATTTGAATAACTAGTGTGAACTTTTTTTTCTTTAATGGGCGGGTATGTTGAAGCACAGCTGTAGAGAATATAATTCCCACTTTAAAACTCAATCTTCATCTTTCCTGAAGATCTGCAAATATTTTATAATAATAAAAGATACATAGCTTTAGGTTCAGTCTTTTTATCCTCTGATAAGATTGATTGAGCTAAGATATTGATAGCATTTTATCAAGTCAGTATTAGTATTAGTATTGGAGCAATACAGTGATCTATATTCTAGTTTGTACAATTTCAGCTGCTCTGCTTGGTCTAAAAGGTAACAGCCACTGGATCGGCTGCTCTGACTCATTATGATAATGCAAAATCTTAAAAAACATTTTTTTTTCTTTAAAAAAAATCCAGAAAATTACTGCTCTTGTGAGGAGAAGTTTCATTATTGCATTATAGTCTCTCAACTCTCGACCACTCAGTAGATTTGGTTTCTATTTGTTCTCAAATTCTATTTTTCAATTGATTTAAGAAAAAATATGACAACTTTTATGTTTTATTCAATTAGTCACCTATAAATCTCAAAAGAAGAACAAAAACAAAAAAATGTAAAAGGTCAGAAGCTTTATGGTGCAAAAAGCCTTAATAATCAGTGTCAAACTGGTCGTTTATTTACTTGGTATCGGATCAATCGACCCAAATGAAGCATTATGACAACACTTCTGCTCTGAATGGTTCGCTCTCTCTTTCAGCTAGAATGAACTGCAGATTTGCGTCACTTTATTCTTTGAATCATTATCTAATCTGATGAGAAGCAAAGGTTAAGCACAGACTGTTGATAAGGGGAGCAAATATGAACAAATATTAGCATAATTTAAAGGAGAATTAATTAAACTAAATAAAAGGGAGAAAAACTGCCTACATCCATTGAAAAGTGCTGTGATCTCATCTACGGAGGGATTTCCATTCTTAAGATAAATAATTTAGAGGCTGAAAAAGTTACTTTTCTACTCAAAATAACATTTAAAAAAGGGTAAAACCTAACTGACTAACAGCCAGAGAATGCATCTAACCCAGTGATCAGTGGGTAAAAGGTTAGAGGTCATGGAGTGCAGATACTCAGATTCAAAAGTCACAAAATACTTTTCTAACAGTGACAAGAATAAATAAGATATTTTTTTTTCTTTTTAAGCAAACAGATATGCTTTTAAAGTAACTTTGCAAATCTATTTCAACTAATAATTTTCTGGTTCTAAAAGTAAAAATCTGCACAGGCAGATGATTTCAATCCTTGAATGACTTATTGGTGCAAACTGTGGGAGCTCTCACACTGAACTCTCATGGCTTTCAACATCCGGCCAACTTTTTAAAGCATCGTTAGCATTCACAGCAGTCTGTCACATTCATGAGAACCTGAGCGAGAATCTCCTTATAAGCTATGGTTTTAAAGCCCCACTGTAGATCCGATGGTTCAGAAAATGATTTGGAGGGGAGATAAATCCAAATTTCCCAAGGGCTCCATCTTTATAGAAGAAGCTAAACTGTCAAATCTGAGCTGACAGAGTAAAATAAATCTAAAGATGAAGGACCTCTGGGATGCCTTTTTTTTTAAATCTCCCAAATGCAGCTAATTGGTGAGGACTCAGAGGTACTCAGTCATTCATTCCTTTTCTCCTACATAATCCAAAAACAAATTAGGATGCAGCCCGATCCAGTCATGATTATTATTTCAGACTAAAGCTTTTTATTTCTGCCTCCAGCGCCAGATCTACCTCTGAGTAAAGCAGTTTTTTTCTTTCAGGACAGATAATGGATTCTAGTTGAGACGTCTAGAAGAAAAGCTCGGTCTTCAGGTTTTGCTCCAGGACGAGAACTAACAAACGTTCCACAATATGGATTATGTTCTTAAGCAATCCATAAAGATTTGTCTCGTTAGCATAATCTGCCTGTCTTTCAGAATGTTGCATCTTATTGTTGCTTTTGGGTTTTGTGAAAGGGTGGGAATAAAACAACGAAGCCTCTGGAAATGAGAAAACAAAATGAAAATGAAGGACAGAAAACAAAGGGAAAGCTGCAAAGTCTTTATTGACTGAAAAACAACCACACTCCTTTCTTCTAGGATAAAACACCTCCATTGAACTATTCTTTTCTGTTAGGAGCTTTTTCAATTAAATCTCTAATAGCTAAACCAGATTTTTAAGCAGTAATAAATAATTCCCCTGGTGCTTTACTGTGCCCTCTGTTACACTTCTTGGACCATGCTTTACACCGTCACTCTGTGTGTAAACCTGGGCCATGTCCGAACGTCTGCCCTAAACCATCAATCACTTTATAGAGCCCGGACTATATAGAGGACTTTATAGTGAACTCAATTAAAGCTGTAAGTACACTGTGTGATTTTCGGGGCAATTTTTCAGTCTTGCGAGAATCTTTCGATCGGCCCGACTATCAGCCTGATCGTGCGTCGTGAGTCGTGTAGTGTACAGGGGGTTACGAGGGGGGACCAGCCTGTCACGACCATCTCCCGATCAGGAATCGTCGTGGGCGAATCGCTCAGGGTGCATGAGTAAAGGAGGATTCTTCTGTAAACACAGCAGCATGGCAGGGGTGATATAAGAGAAATGCAGTTCTGTCTGTAAAATTGACAGACCGCAGTAGCCACGTTTGCTCAGCCATGTCTTTTTTCTAAATATGTCGTTGCCTTTTCTTTTTAGGACTTTCAGCACAAAATTGCACAAATTGCCAATGCAGCACATTTTACTCTAGTAAGCCTCATATTCCCCTTCTATTTGTTTGCGTTCCGGATAGACAGGTCAGAGCAGCTCCATCTCACTGGGGAGCGGAGTACGACGTGGTTTTAAGTCGTACAGTGTAAGAAGGTAGAGCAGATGAGAGCGTCGGGCCGAACATAAATAGTGAGCTGTGAGCTCACACTGTACGACTAAACCCTGCGATTAGTCGTACAGTGTGAGCAGTAGCTGCATGCAATGACTGAAGAAATCGCACAGTACGCCTGGCTTAACTTACTGTTATGACAGATGATCACTACTTTTCTCTTGTTGGTCACGTAACTCCTCCTCCACCGCACAGTGCCTGCGCCATCTATGTTATTATTCGCCACTGTCAGGTAGCGACGGCCTATGGCGACAGCAGGCTGCTGTGACAGCAAATCCCATAATGCTTTGCGAGAAGAGCTCTCAGCACAAACGGATACAGAACTGGTCTTTTGCAGAGGTTCTGCGTCATTCTCTGAATGTGGAAGATTTTTTTTTTAAAGCTGATATATTTTGATATTTAAAGTGTCCTTACTTATTACTCTCCACTCACTTTGACAGAGATATGAGTACCTTATCCTTATTAATATGTGTTAAACAACAGTCCAATAAATATATTTACTTCACTTCTGTGCAAGGATAGTTTAAGATTTTTCCAGTTCATTTTCTATTTTAAATACCACTGTCATGGGTGTGCAAGTGCCGCAGTGGTTAGTGCGCATGACCCATGTATGGAGGCCTTAGTCTTCGATGCCAGAGACCTGCGTTTCGAATCCAGCCTGTGGTCCTTTCCCGCATGTCTCTCCCCCTATCTCATATTCTCTTTCCTTTCAGCCTACTGTTGAAAAAACAAGCCATTCGTGCCGTAAAAACTCAAAAAAAAAAAAAAAAAAAAAAGAGTAAATAAATACCACTGTCTTTATTTAGAAATAATCCACATTAGTCGGTCTTGGAGGCTAAAGCTAATGGCTAGTCAGTCTTAAGATGTATTTAGGTTTCTACAACTTTATTCTCAACAATTTTAAAGCAGATTTTTTTTTTATTTAAAAAAACTTTTAAACTGACATCACCATTGCTGCATTATCAAGTTAGGTGGGAGGCAGGCAGAGCAGGAGTAACCCTCCTGGAGGAGATATTTAAAGCATTTTAACCAACAGTAAATTAGAGCGGAATAGAAAAACAAACAAAAAAAAAAAACTTTAAAACTGCTCATGTATTTTTAATTTCCCTTTTATTTTTTCCCCCTTTTTCAAATGGATTACATCACTAATTACTTCTAAACCAGAATTGTTTTTTTTTTCTTTTTTCCAGAACTTCTTAACATTTTCTTCTTAGTTCACGTTCCCCACAGGAAGTTAATTAGTACTGCACCACCTCAAGTAATAGAAACATGACTAACATGAATAAACATGATCCAAACATGACTGCAGTTAAAATGGTCATAAAATGTTGTTTAAATAATTTCAGATGGAATTAGTTCACTTGGGTTTAGTCCCTTTAGGATTGGCCACAGTATTTATACTGATTGAAGATAAATGTGATTATTTTGGCATTTAAAATGCTTTATTTTGAAAAAAAGTTTATAAAAACAACTTATTAAATGATATATATATTAGCAAATATGCAAATACATCGCAATATATTTACATATTTGTGGAGAACTGCTTCCGGTTGATTGTAAAGCCAGTTCGGAAAAGAAGCTCAAAGCGGAGAAAAAGCTAGAGAATGGGATAATGCTAATTTCAACAAAAGTAAATTTGCAGCCTGCCGATGGTAAAGATGAAGAATGAATTTGCTGTGTATATATGAGAGTCATGGGAACTTGTTGATGGCATTAAAATTATTTCTAAGAGCATTAAAAAGCTTTAAATTAGAGATGCTTATTCCTGTATAATCCTGATATTGTTCTAAAGTTTTTTACAGCACCTATCTTTAATCAAGTTCAGTCATGAACTATACCTATAATATAGTTAAAGAACATTAAGTAGTTGTGTTTGTTTGAAAGGCAAATGGATCCTGAGTCTAAACAATGCAGCTAATCCAATTAATACATGTATTGTAGCTCTGAGAGGTTTGTTTTGGAATATAATTACATTAAATAACATCTTCTCTCTGCAGACATCTATCCATAGATAGATAGATAGATATCCAAATGCAAATGTTCACATTTGTAGATTCCCTTTAGAGAGGAGCTTTTGTTTGCAGCCTAGAAAAGAACAGACGCTGGGAATAATGAAATACTACTGGGATTGGTTTCTGCATCTGCTAGAATAATATCCCCTGCATTGTTTTCCTTCAATAGTAAAAAGCTTTTATTTGATTCTCAACCCTGAAATAAATATATAAATAAGTTCCAGTGTTATTAACCTATGATGTATGCAGCACCTATTCACACACAGCCTGGAACATATTTCAACATTAGCTTCAGCTCTAGCGTTTTATTCCTCTGGGTAGATGTAAAGCTCTCCTTCTTTTAGCTGAATAATTTAACCCTAATCAATGAATGTTTTACTTTATCTTTTAAACTGCATATAAGTTAGTTTGTTTTGTTCTGTATTATTGAGCATAAACGATAATTATGCCTTTTGGGCAGGGCTTCCTTAAAGAAGACATTTTAATCAGTTTGTTAATTAAATTTTATGTCCTTAGTCCTGTTGTCACTTTAACTTGTTTCATGATATATTAATAAGCTTTTTATTTAGAATCACTATCTGCTGTTTGAAACCTCTTACAATTATGCACAGCCATAAAAAAATATATAATGGATATTTTTATTGCTCAGAGTTTGTCAATAAGATCAAACTAAACATTTAAAATTTGTAGGTGATTTGGGATTGAAAAAAACTATTTGACTTTTCTAAATGGATGACAGAGAAAGAATTTGTTTATGAAAAAGAGCGAACCCTGCAAGCCAAAGCACACCTTTCTAACTGGGAAGCACAGGAGGGGCAGTATCATGCTGTGGGATTGTTTTGATGCGGGGTCGATTTGGTGCAGACCCCCAAAAAATGGATTGGATAATAAGAAACAGCTTTACGCAGAAAGTTTGAAAAAGTCTGGATGTTAAGATGTTTGGTGGAAACATGAATGAGCAACAAAACAAAACAGGCTGGCTAATTCAATTCAATTCAGTTTATTTCTATAGCGCCAATTCACAACACAAGACATCTCAAGGCACTTTACAGTTCAAACAGATCATGCAGTCAAATTGATTCCAAAACAATCAGCGGTTCAAGGTCAAAAAGGTCAGAAAAGGTCAAGATCTTTTGGAGAATTTGTGCATTTTTAAGCAGCAAATATGTTTGTGCCTTTTTAACTCCAGATGGTAGAACTATACAGGTAGAGCTGCTGTTATCAATCTGGCTCCTCTGACTGCGATCAGGTCAGAGCACGTATGTTAATTTCTTCTCCTAAATCATAAAAAATAAAATAAATTAAAAAAAATTCTGCCATTTTGCAAACAGTTTGGGTCATCCTAATTGTCTTAAAGGAACCAAAATTCAGTGTGATTTTTAATTTAGGCAGTGAGCATACGGCTCTTTATTCAGTGCATGTAAATACTGTATCAGGTTTCACCACTACCTATGATCCCATCATCTCATTCAGAGGAAGAGCAGATAAGAACAAAAAGGATGAGAGCAACACAATGGCATGTGAGTGCAGCTGTCAGGGTTGATGAAGGAACTAATGAAGCACAGAGGAAGATGTTCTTTAGGAGGCGAGGATCTTTTTTATTGGGGAAAGACTCCAAACAATCAACAGAAAGGAATTAAGGATTTGCTTGGAATAATTAAGCGCATTGATCAGCTAATTGGCATGCTCTCTGCTTCGCCAGGATTGCTGGCAGGCCTTTAAAGGAACTGACCCAGAAGCTGATTGTTCTCATCACACAGTGAAGAAAAAGGACCTGGCTACTCCACCAGAGCAGTGGTTTAAAGCTCATCTCTTGCATATACTGATCACATGTATCTTGTCTTGTTTTGCAGGGTAGCAGGAGTGCTTCCCCAGCTAAACGCTGAACCCCTCCCTCCTTCTACAACCCCTTCCAACACCAAGAGGGTAGATGTATGCAAGCACATCAGGGGGGGACGAAAAAAAAGAGAAGAAAGGAGGAAATCTGGTCATCTGCCTTTTTTTAACACCCTAATGTTGCTATAATATATATTTAGCTGATAGACAGCAACACAATCTCTCCACCCCCTGCTAAGCTTCATGCAAAGTGTGTGCCAGTGTGAAGCTGAGATCCTGAAGCCGCTCACGTGTGCAGCCTGAATGATCCCCCCGTCTATGTGTACAGTTTAGGTTCCTGTCTCTCCTTGGTTGGTTTTCTAACAGAAAGGTGGCTAAACCCGAAGTAGGCCTGGAGCAGCTGAGGGTTCGGGCCGGTGCAAGTATCACTGACTTGACCGTTGTTGCCACTTGCTGATTGGTTGATAAGACCGGGTCACTTCTGGGTTAGAGAAGAGCAGATTTCTGTCTTATGTCTTTGTCTTCGTCTCTCCCTCGATCCTTTCCTCTTAGCAATTAACTCTTTGTTTCTTTAGCTTTTTCTTTTATTATTCTTAGTTGTCATTTTTCCATTCCACCCTTGTTAAGCGTCATGTTATGAATGCAATGTTTTAACCAACTTAAGGCTAGCAGGTAGTTCGGCGCAAAAAAGGAGACATTTTCTCTTTAGTTCACTAATAATTGACAATTTCCTTGTCTATAAGCGTATGAGTTGATAATAAAGTATAATCTGAACCCTAATGCTGCAGACATGCTTAATGCTATGATGTAGTCTGCTGATGATTGTTGGCCCTGTTTTCTGTCACGCACTTAGAGCTAAATTCAGTTGGCAAAATGTGCATTTCCTCCCGACTGCCAAAAACACTATTAGCTGTGTTTCCTTCTGGTGAATGAATAAACACAGTTTTCATAAAGGTGCTCTGTGATTAACTCTGTAATGACACAATATAAAGTTTTCCTTGAGAATGTGCAAGTTTTATGTAAAAAAAAAACAAACAAAAACAACAAAGATCGATGATTTTAAAGGAAAAAAAAAAAAAGCTCCATTCCTTCTGTTTGCTCGAGCCTTTTGTGAGTTCAGTGTGAGTTTTTTTTTCTTTTTGCTGAATGGATCCCAGGAATGAATGTAAACACCGTCCTCATTTCTGTACGTGTAAT